TTTGAAATAGTCCCCCAACTGAAAAAAAAATAGTTTTTTGGTCCTCTGACCGCCTATATCAGGTCACTATGACCGGCTGAGTTACGTGGAAATTCACTATAACCCAATCATAGTGACCTGATATAGGCGGTCAGAGGACCAAAAAACTAATTTTTTCCAGTTAAGGGACTATTTCCAAAAACAGTCCACTTACGGGATCATATTGAAAACAGCCTGCAGATAAAGGGCCAAAAAACTTTTTTTTCCTTCCATTGAATGTCACTTGTGTGGCCAAAATAATTATAAAATATTATATATTTTGTCAGTTGATTTTAATTTCTATTATTAGAATATTCATTTGTGAAGTTGTGAATTGTCACACATTGTTTATATAGAGAAAATAGACTTAATTTATAGGTCTAATGAGCGACTCCATCTACCAATTGATTTTGGGATGGAACCTCACTTGGGTTTCATCTGGGCTTCCTGTTTATGGTGCGCTTCACGTGCGTGGGACCGCACTCGTTTTTCCCCGTTTTCTTACACGTATACTTTTTTTTTAACTCCACAATATTTAATGTCTAAATTTAATGAATGTTTAAATGGAGAAATATTTAGTAAAAAGATGATGTGGATAAGAGAGAGTATAGTTGGCGATATGCCTCCCTAGCTACCATTTTCAGTCGAAGATGAGCGCGAAAAATTTCATTTGTGCCATCCAATTCTAGGAGAAAGGAATGTTGATCCCGAGCTGAGATTTCATTCCAATGGGATGAGTATGCGAGAGTACAATGCAAATTGAGAGCCAATAGACTCAATCCGAACACACAATTTCACAAGACTAGTGCATAGTTTGCAGGGACAAATCTAGAAAATAAAATTAGGGGGACTAGAACAGTAAACGAATCGAATTATGTTCGTATGATTCGCGAAAACTCAAGTTCAGCTCGCTAATATACTTAAACGAGCCAAGCTATAACAATTATTCGAGCTTATTTTTTGAATGGGTTGAGTTAGATTGGGCTTATTATATGGGCTGGCTTTGAGTTCACATTTTTGTTTGTTTATTAAGTGGTCTAGCCGAGTCAGCTCATTTATTATATGAGCACAAGCTTGAATATGAGATATTTGACTTGACTTGGGTCGAATGATATCTTTAGAGAACTATATAATTTTTAATCTCTCTCTTTCTCTAATTTATTTTAATGTATTTTTTATAGTTTAAAATTATGCGGAGATTAATATAAACATAAATAACTATAAACAAAATTTTACAGACTTATGTCTCTACTTAACCAGATATACAAATGACTGAATTTTATTATGAAATTAGAAGTAAAATACATAAGTAAATATCATATATGATAAAAAAGAAATTATTACAATTATAATTCATAAAGGTAAGTGTCATTATAATAAATAGTAATACTCTATTAGTTATTTGTTATACAATTATTTTTATAATTCTACCATAAGAATACTGAAAATTTTATCTACTAATTTTTTATTACACAAATATTTTTTCAAGCACCCGCGTAGTATACGTGATTCAAACTAATATGTATTATAAAAGATTGTAGAAATAGTACTTACAATAATATGTAGTTGGAATTAGTTATAGTTAATCTATATAAAGTTGGGTTAAAGTGAGAATGGATAATCTAATGAATATAAAAGTCAAATTTATATCTTATTAAGGATAATGTGGTTATTTTAATACACAACCAATGGGACCCCACCACCACACAACCCCTAATATGTGGGACCCACCTGCCACCTTACCCCATATCACTCATTCCCTCTATCTCTAGCTGACATACAAAAGCCACCTCAGCACTCCACACACACAAACTCACGCACACCACACGCACACACACACAACACACACTTCAGCACACACATAGCACATACATAGAACACACAGACACACACACGGACAGACGCCTGCGACACCAAGCAAATCCCATCGTCGACTGCCACCACCTGTCGTCGTGCCACCGCTGTCGGAGCACAAGGAACTCCGACAAAACAGTCGCTGCTTCGGTGCCGTTCTAGTCCTCATCTCTGGCGTCATCCTCCAGCTCCAAGCTTTGTATCAACCTCCTCGATTTAGATGCAACGACGCCAAAAAAGTTGAGATCAAGCTTGAAAGTCCATCTTCAAAGACGGATTTTGTAAAAAACATAAAAAATAAAAAAAAAAAATCATCGGACAACGGCCGATTGCACTGACTTACAGGTCGAATGGCAAAGGCCGCTGAAGACGGTTATGGCGGCAGTCGCCGGAAAGAGAGGATGACGGCGCGGTGGTGGTGTGATGAAGACTGTGTATCTGCCTCAACTCGATTTGCCTTGAAAGTTCCGTTGCCACGGCTCCCTTCTCGGCGATTGCTTTGAAACCCGCGCCGATGCCTTGATCTCTAAGCGATAGGTTGCTAATACGCGCGCCGACACCTTCGTACTTCGTGATAGGTGTGAAGAAACTCGGATGTTGGTCCTATTTCTAACACGATTTTGTATGTAAACTCACACACAAGAGTTGGTGAAAAACGTTCGGTTTTCTATTAATTTCTTGGATATAAAAAATAACAAGAGGAAGGGCCTTTATATAGGCATCAACTAGATCTAGTCCTATGAGAATTATAATTCTTGTAAGAAACTGGGGGAGAAAACGGTGCGGGCCTACTAACATGAAGCGCACCAAAGTGGGGAAAACCCAAATGAAGCCCAATGGAGTTCCATCCCAAAACCAATTGGTGAAAGGAGGAGTAGCCCATTAGACTTATAAGGTGGGTCTATTTTCCATATATGAAAGATGTGGGACAACTCACAAGTGATATTCTAACACGCCCCCTCACTTGTGAGTCCTTTGGAAGGACAAGCCCAACTGGGCGGCCCAAGCCTACTAGAAGCAGACTTTCTAGTAGACTCCCATAAACGGGTACGTGGGGAAGCAGACTCCCATAAACGGGTACGTCATTGCACGATCCCAATAGAATCGGCTCTGATACCATGTAAGAAACTGGGGGAGAAAACGGTGCGGGCCTACTAACATGAAGCGCACCAAAGTGGGGAAAACCCAAATGAAGCCCAATGGGGTTCCATCCCAAAACCAATTGGTGAAAGGAGGAGTAGCCCATTAGACTTATAAGGTGGGTCTATTTTCCATATATAAACGATGTGGGACAACTCACAAGTGATATTCTAATAATTCTAACTAGGGAATAATATCTAGTCCTAAGGTAACTAAATGTCTTGCATCCCGAGACTTAACAAAATATAAAATACCTAACCAACTAATATTAAAACTAAATAATCTCTTGCCTAATAATCTAATAATCTAATAAATATAATCTAACCTCACGCAACAAATAAAACCCCTAAACTAATATACTAACTACTAACTCACGGCAATAAATATAAGTCCTAACAATCTAACAAACTAATATAAGCTTACGCCACTAACTAATTAACTAACAAAATTAATTCTAAAATACTATTAAATAATTTCCAAACTAATATAATAACAATCTTCCAGAAACTTCGCTCCTCGGCTCGCACGGTTCGCTTCGTGTACTTGAGCCTCACGTCCGTGTACGCCTCCGGGTGCTTGTTCGCGCGCTATTCCTCGCCTCACGAGGCTTCTCGAACCTTCTCGTGCACGTGTCTCATACCGGGTCTCACCCAGTCCTCGCCGTCGAGCTGCAGGGTTTCCAGGTCTCGACCATGCGCGTCTTGACCTCGTGTGATAAGCCCGAGTCCTTGCCTTCACTCGGGACTTTCGTGCTCGTGCGCCTTGCATACGGGCTCGTACCCTTCTCTTAGGCCATGCTTGCGTGCTTTTGGCCCTTTTCTCAGCCTTCTCGAACCGTTCGGCCATCGGCTCTCGACATCATCGGGCCTCGAAAGCCACTTGCGCATAATGGTGTGGGCACAAAGATACAAATTTAGAGTTGGGGTTGTTGTTTGAAAATTAGAAAATGTGCAAGGACTTTATTGAAATTTCATGAATTTTGAATAGATTTCAACATACTTCATGTACAAAATTTATAAAAAGTTTAATAAGGTCATATTAATAAAGATAATTTATATTTATAAAAAAATAAGAAGGTCATATTAATTTGGTTAATTAATAGAAAAATAATTATTGTGATTTGGTGTTAGTTTGGATTTGCATAGGGGTGGGCGCGGTCCGGGGCGGTCCGGGATTTGACCTATCCCGGTACATGTCCCGCTTTTTTGAACCGGTCCGGGACGAGACCCCGTCCCAAACGGATCGGTATCAATCCGGACCGAGACAAAACGGTTCGGGACCGGGACAAAACGGGAAAAAAAAATGTTCAAAATTCAAACTATTTATTGTTTCACTTAAAAAAATACTTTGATTCCATACCAACAAATTAAAATGCAATCATGCATTCTGCATTAAAAAAAAATAGCTACTGATACTAAATTAAACATTGAACATTGTCTACACAAAGCCTGTTAAGACTAAATTAATTATTAAAATAGAAACTGAAATTGTATCATTGTAAACATAAATATAAATAATGTATAATATATATACTATATATAAATATAAATAATGTACATTGTTAACTTAAACCAAGTCTGTTAACTATATAAAATATAAATAATGTATAATATATATAATATACATTGTAAACATAAATATAAATAATGTATAATATATATATGTATACTATATTGTTGATATCATTTTCAGTAAGCCAAATTAAGTGACGTTGATCCGCCAATTAGGGTCAGTATAAGGATAATTAAGATTCATGCAAGCACGTGACGCTTTCACCGACTTCAAGACGGCTGCGCGATGAAAGATTCAACAAGAACCGACATCTCCACTATTTGACCGATATCACATGTCGGCCAACACATGTCGGTCAACACATGTCGGTCACCACATGTCGGGTACGACATATCGGTTATAACTGGATGAACCGATGTCTATAACATGCCACCTCAGCATTGTAAGGCGGTGACAACTCAGCATAAGTCATCATTACGTTTGTCCAAGTGGCGAGTAATCAAGAAAAGCAGCTAAGAGCCGCCTTTGACCTTTGAAAATGTAATGATTACCGTACAGATATATGTTGTACTTAAATATAAAAGGAGAAAAATGAATCTCCAGAACGACACACGAACAACAATGATAATAAGACTTTATTACAAACCTTCCATCTCCTTTTACAATATACCAGTTCTTATCGTTGAATATTTGATTGTACTCTAAATTTACTACAATCAGACCGTTGTTAATTTCCGTTTGACAACAGTTTGGCGCTAGAAGGAAGGGCGCTTTGCTTGTGTTTTGACGTTAATCTTCGCCTGTAAGCCATTTTTGCACTCGGAAATTACTATGTCACAGTCTGGTCGAGATCATGTACCTCACCCTGGTCAGAGCCAATCGACTAACCACTCTCCACGGCGTACAACACCGCCTCCTCCGGTCACGAATCTCACGAACTTTCTTCAAAATCCAGAGTTTATTCAAGGTTTGTCTTCATTGATAGCTCGAGCCATGCCTAGAAACTCGGGTACGATGCCATTGTCGATGCCGTTAACTACTAACCCAACAGAACATCCAACTCATACCCGCTATGACCATGAAACGCATGTAGCGACGTCACATGCCACATCGCAGCCTCATCATACTTCTCCACGTCAAGAAGAACAGGCTCATGTAATTGTGAATCCAGTAACGAACAATCAAGTCCCAGATCAACCCCCTGTGCAGGAGATGACTGCTGAAAGTCATTCTGCTCATCACCAGAGAGTTTTCCCACGTCCTAGACCCATCTCGTCAGCACCTCACGCTCGCGAAGATTTACGACGCCAAATTGAACGCAATCGTCTTTCAAGGCACAGTGCGGAGGAAATTGAAACTCTCCGTAAACGTTTGGCTGAACTTGAAACGCGACAGAAGTCACAAGAAGATTCACCCAGACATGTCACGACGTCGGGAAATGTTGTTGTCGAGGCGGATTCTCCTTTAGCCCCCGAACTTACTGCGGAGCCACTCCCTGTGAAGGTAAAAATCTCGCAAATCGGCATGTATGATGGGACGTCGGATCCAGATGCACACTTAGGCCATTATACGTCGTGGATGGATTTACATGGAGCTTCAGATGCTTTGAGGTGTCGGATGTTTTCGCTTACACTGGGGCCACGAGCCCAAAAGTGGTATTATACTCTGCCACCTCATTCAATTTGGAAATGGCAGCAGTTACGTGCAGCTTTCCGGTCACACTTTATTGGTGCTCAAATATGTCTCATTCCGAAAGAGTCGATTACCAACATCGTGCAAAAGGACGACGAGACTGTTAAAGATTACGTGGCTCGGTTCAACGACCGAATTCAAAACATGGAACCCTGTCATCCTGAAACTTTGTTAGTAACTGCTATTGCCGGACTGAAGCCCAATTCAATGTTTCGTTGGACCTCATGTCAAAATAAGCCTGCAACATTTCAAGAGTTTCTTGTACGAGCTCAACAGTTCATTATTGCCGAAGAATCCATGTCGGTCCTCAGTTTCGACTTCTCGGTAAAAGAAAGCAAGGTTGAACCAGATACCAAAAAGAAAAACAAGAAGAACTTTGGGAAAGCACAATTTCGGAACTCCTCTAAAGGATATGAAAATACTCCAGAGTCTCGGGCGGCTCGTGATCAATATTCGGACAATGTCAGGACAGGTTATCATGCCGTTTATTCCGCTGGAGCAGCCACCATATATGAGGAACTGAAAGGAAAGGGAATTATCCCAGACCCGAGGCCTGTGAGAACTCCTGAAGACAAGTTGGATAAAACTCGGTATTGCGCATATCATAAATCTCCGGGACATAATACCGACGAGTGTCTTGGTCTTTTGTCGGCACTCTTACGCTTAATCGGACAACCCCAGCTTCAAAAGTTTCGAAATTTCGATAACCGCCGGAAAGGAAGGCCCTTAGATCTCTCAGATGACGAAGATGAGGACAATCGACCTGCTAACCAGAAGAGAGCTCGTGCAAACGATAAGGAAGTTTTTACGTTTTCCAC